TTTCTAAAAATTTTAACCATCTACTGCCACAGCCACACGGTAGTTTTTCCCGTGGTGGTGGATTTTATTGATATAAGAGCATCTACAACATGCAACAATAATCTAAAAGGTTGAATTATAAAAAAGGTTTCAGACCCTTTCCAAACACTATCGGACAAAAAAATACACTTCACTAGCAGTTATCTTTTATTGGTAAAAAAAATGCACTATCGGACAAAAAAATAGCCTCCAACATGTTACCAACTTGGTCCTCTATATCTGTTAACTTCAACATAGTGACTATTTGTGTCGTGGAATCTTATTTTAGATATTTTCACAAGAATAAGAAGTCCAATAGCTATTCTATCCTTTGATACTATCCCGCATTTCTCGCTCGGTAAAGAAAGCAAGCCGTAGAGGCTCGCCATCCACCTATCCGCGCCTATTATATTCCTGCATGGCACTGGTGGCATGCAAGCAGATGTCGGGAGTACAGGAAATAGGGAAGTGAGCCAATCTGAGCATGGCGTGTGTGTTCTAAAAAAAATATGATGGCAATTTGGAAAGGCTGTTGCGTTGCTCTATTTTTTTAGGATGTTTTATTTTGGACAGTGGTTAAATCAATGGTTTTAGAATCTAATTTTACATAATCTCTTGGAGTTGCTCTTAGCTACCTAAACTCCTCCCTCACTACCCATTCCTATGGGTGAGTAGGGGGCCTCTACTTTTTGGTTGGGTCAGTTTCTTCCCCCGCCATGGCCGGACCCCACTGCTCCACGGCTAATCTCACCTCCTCCCCCTACTCCGGCTCCTGCCTTCTCCCCGCTGGATCCCGTCTCTTCTCTGCCCAATCCTGGCTTCTCCTCGCCTGACACCTCTTCCTCATCGGTCGTCGCCTCCACACTCGGCATCGCTGCCTCCATACCCGGCTCTGGCACCTTCCCAGCTGATTTTGCTTTTTCCCTGCCTGGCCATGGCTCCTCACCGCCCGATCCCGTCGCCACCCTGCCCAACCTCAGTTTGCCTAACCCTAACTCGTCCCTACCTGATCCCGCCGCCACCCTGCTCGACCACAACTCGTTTACTCCCAACCCGACTCCTTCACATGCGCCGCCGCTGCCTCTCTACACCCGACCTAGGCTCCTCCCCTCCTCCCTGACCACCGCCGCCTCCTTCCCGCATGACGGCGACACCCAACCCTGCAGGATGGTATTCCTATGTCATCGTGGAATTTTCGTTCTATATGTCATTGGGATTCCTATGAAAATTGATTCCTATATCATTCTAAAATTTTTTATACTTTGTCCTTTTGAAATAGTTTGCAATGGATTATGAAGGCACCTGCACACATATGATGTCGGAAGACACTAATGTTGATTTGATTACATTATCTACTCAAACAAAGTCAACTACACTATTAGATACTGATGAAATTCCTGCCTAGAGTGGCATAAACAAGCAAAGTACACACAGTTCTTGTGAAACCCAAATATAAGAACATCCAGATGTGTACTGATTTCAAGAGTTTCTGGTTATTTTCTAAAAATATTGAAGATTCATTTTTCTTTTTTTTTATGAGAAGTTAAGTTTACCTATTCCCAAGTGTACCGGATCATTTCCAGCGTACGATACTAACTGCTCCGTCACGAACAGCATGATCTAACACCGACTAGTGGCATCTGTAAACATTGATCCACATTGTCAGTGAGAGCGAGTTTCATAAAGCTTGGTACTGGTAGGAGAGACCGAGAGTTTGAATAAAAAAATAAGCCTAGGAAAGAGGCTTGATGGTCAGGCGGGGCACACCAGACACGCACGTACACGTGCCACCACTAGTGGACCTGACATTTTGATTTGACCAATTAAAAGCGTAAAGATCTCTTCTAAGCAAAACTATCAAAGACTTCATTTTCTGAACTCCCAACAAAGACTAGTTAGAAAACGAGCGGTGCTTGTTAATTACTTTATTGCGTTCTTTTATTTTTCTAAACTAAAGACCTTCAAAAGTTGATATTTGGCTTCAAAGGAAGTACAACTATATATATTTACATATTGATGGAAAAGATATCTAGTTTGAACAAAGCTTGGTATCCCGGTATCCTCGGCTACACGCTGAATGTCAGGCTAGGTGCCTCCGACTAAAGCGTTAGTTGAAGGTACCAAAGTGTTCTTATAGGCTTCGTCAATCCTAAGACCTAGTACCGACTTATTATCTCACAAGTATTCATATTCGTAGAATAGAAGTAGGACACACATACCCATTGTGGGTTCAATATACATAAAAAATGTATATATATGAAGGCTTGTGTATATATTGTGTTCGAAAAGGGTTCTTTCCTATAGTTGTCTATTGATTATGATTTTGTTGATTCTTTGAACTCCATATCTAGGTTGTTTTCTCCACTTCTATATATTTCCCTTGCAACATTGTTAGAGCTCACATACATTGTATTGCATGGTCCAGCGAGTGCAGTCCATGATGTCCTATGTAACGTAACACACTTCTAGAGCGAGGCAATGGATCTTTCTTGCAAGCACAAAACAAACCCAAAGGGCTAAGTGGAAGCTGCTCTCACCACTAGCTACCGCCTACTAGTCTACTGGCTAGTACACTCTTCTCATTTAAAAATGGTAACTGGTAGTACACTTTAACTATACATTAAGGCCCACTAAATCTAGTCATAGCATGTGAACCACTCCTGATCCCTATGATATCAAACAACGGTATGTTCAGGAGGCCGTATCGTATCGTGGATTATTTACTGCTGGCTGATTTGGTGTGAGAGAAAAACACTGTTCCCGACTGAAAATTTACGATCATTTACGAGCAAGCGAACAAGCCAACTAGTGCTCCTACGTCTAATTAAACAGGCTTCATGTCTTCGCATACATAACCTCTCTGCCTTTTTCTTCCTTACATTATTTTGGTTATTTCCTAAGAACCATATTTGTAAACTGTAAGCTGATACCGCACAAAGTTTATTAAGTTCAAATAGAAAAAGATGGCACATGAAGTTCATTCCAAGAAAAAACGAAAGCACTAAAGATGCCTTTCCACCAAAAATCACCACTGCGTGTGATCACAGCATACCATGTCCTAAAAGATCTGAAAACTACGTCCACTGTGACCCCCAACCACCAATCATTCTAAATATACATTAACAAAACAGAACCACAAACATATGGCCTAACAAAGCTCTAAATTATAAATTGCCAAAAATGATGAAAATATCTTAATATGTAGCTCTCTCTTACAAACAATACAAATACTAGATGATTTTGTGTTTTTTTTCTTGTTGGTCCAAATACAGGACATGGCTAAGGACCTGTGTTGATACCATGTGCTAATTGTTAGCTAGTTAATTTTAGCTCAATCAGCTTTAATGCATCCAAACAAGATGGCTAATAGGTGGGCTAATTTTTTAGCCAAGTCTCTAAGTAGTTATTAGCCAACTAGCTAGCTAACCTAGCTAATTTAGGCTAGTTTTTAGCACAACTAGTAACTAGCCACGTGTATATCAAACATGTACTGAGGGGGTGTTTGGTTCACCTAGCAGCTCCTAAATTTAGTAGCTTTAGTCTTTTTTAGTAACTTTTTTACCAAACACTTTGACTAAATATGACTAAATGACATTTAGCCAACTAGTGACCCAAAGCTTACTAAAAGAGACTAAAAGCCCACCTGGACAGGTGGTGCCCCTCATAATTGCCCTGTCCCGAGCGCCAACCCTATCCCGGGCGGTCTTACGCCCTGCACTCATTGCCGCCCGGCCACCGCCCACCACCACCACCCGGCCGCCCACACCACCCGCTCACACCACTTCACCGCACAACCCGCCCAGCCGCTCGCCGCACCCGCTCGAGACCGAGGCTCGAGTGCGCACGCGCACGCCTGCAGCGGAGCCCTTGGCGGCGCCACCGCTCGTGGCCGGTGCTCACCATGCCGGCTACACGCGCTGGGGATAGGATGGCGCCGGATCTCGCCGGAGCTTACTGGGCCGGCTGCGCGCGCTAGGGACGGGGCTCACCGGATCTCGCGCGTCGAGCTCATCTTGATCGGATCTCGCTGGAGCTCACCAGCAGGCAGGCACTTCTTCCTCCCCTTCTCCGTCGGCCAGTTCTCCTTCCTCACCTTCTCCGTCGGCCAATGGTCCTTCCTCCCTTCCCCCCCGGCCAAATGCCAGGGGCAGGAGCTTAGGGGCGTTTTGGTCATCCTAAACATGCACATGTCAAGTTTAGTCACAATTAGTCCACCAAACCAAACGCTTTCGGACTAAAATTTAGGAGGTAGTTTAGCTGACTAAATTTAGGAGCTGGGAACCAAAGAGGCCCTAAATCTATCAACAACTTACGTGATGACACTTATATAGTGTAAATTATGCCATTATGTGGATCAAAATTCAGAGAGCTAATGTAAATGTCTCAATTGCGGTTCATGTAATTAGCAAAACACTATGGAAACAAACCAACAATAATTGCTAAAGTGTATAAGTGAACCGCTATATTGCCATAGACAATAAAGGAAGGTACTAGCTACGCGTCCGTGGAATGAACCTACATCTTAGAACCTAAAACGAATTACCTAACATGTGCTATCATATTAAAATGGTTGATGTTATAGATACCCTTTTATCATACTACGAAGAGACAAGGTGAGATGAGATAATACCCTAATCCCTATTTCAGCAAGACAGGGTGTCATTAGTTGGTGGTTTTGTAAGTCGAAAATTTTGTTGTTGCAGTTTTGTAGACACAGATCAGGCCAAAACCAAAAAAAAAAAGCACTCCAAAAAGATCTCAAATAAAGCCCGGCTTGTTTGTAACCAAGTGGAGAAAGAAGAGGGCACCGCCACCGGGCGGGTGGGCCCACACATAAATAGCGACCAACCGCTGCTAAAAATAAAGCGTGGCGACTGGCGAGGCGAGCGGACCTCGCGTCGATTCTCTCCCCCCCCCCCAGCGCGTCGCGTCCCGTCCCGTCCACTCCCTCGCCGTCGGAGCGCCGCGCAGCGCAGCGCCGGATGGCGCAGAGCATGAGAGGCGGAGGGAGCTGCCGCGGCCACGGGAAAGGCCAATACGGCAGCAGCCACAACCACCACCTCCACCACAGCGCGCTGTGCTGCCTCTCCGCCGCGCCGCCGCTGCCGGGGGACGCCACGCCGATGCTGACGCCGGAGCCGGAGGCCGCCGCCGCGGCGGCCGCTGCGGCGGGGCCGGCCGTCGCGGTGGAGGGCGTGCTGCACAAGTGGACCAACTACGGCCGCGGGTGGCGGGAGCGCTGGTTCTCGCTCCGCGACGGCGTCCTGTCCTACTCCAAGATTCGGGCCGCCGACGCGGGCGGCGTCGCCCGGGCCGGGGCGCGGGCGCAGGCGGGCGCGGCGGACGGCGACGGGGAGGTCAGGCTGATCGGCTCCAGGGTGGGAGGAGCGCGCCGCACGGAGAAGCCCGCCGGCGTCGTTTTCCTCAAGGTCCGCCTCGCTCTTCCCTGTCCCTTCCTCCTCCTCCCCCGTGCGGTTGGCGCGTGATCCCGGCCGGTGGGGCAGATTCCGTTTCTTGATTTCGTCCTCTCGTTTGCCCGTCGACGGTTTCTCCCCGCATTCCTGACTGCTCGTTCGGTGAATGCAATGCAATTCGAGGCTGATTTTAACCTTTTCACCGCGATTACTTTCCGCCCGCTAAATTTGCGAGATTTTCTTCTTCTCGTATTGCCAATCTATGTTCCCGGGGAATTTGGTTGCCTTCGCGATGCAGCCAGCGCCGCTGTTGGCTGGATCAAAGTGTTGCAAAATTGCAAAAAAAGAAAAGAAAAGAAATCCTATTTAATTGGCCCCGCCTCCGGGTTCTTTTTGAGGGGGTGCAAGGTAGATTCTCGTGTCGAGTTCTGCTCATGATGATGGAATGGTAGGTTGGAGACATCGTCACATTGCTGGATCGAAATGACGTGACCTCCCTTTTCTATTTTCCTTTTGCTAGGATACTCGCATTCATTCCATCCTTCTCCTTGTCTGCGCATTGCCGTGACAAATCATTCAATCCTGTCCATTTTGTTGTTCAGATCGTCCCCTTCCCTCAAAATCCATTCAATGGTACTATGCTAACATTAGCATGCTTGATTAATTAATCAACTGACTAACCACCTCATTAGTGGCCCTAAGACAGTTTCCTGTCTAAATTTAGTAGAATCTAGTCTAGCTTGGAGTATAAACGAACAAAAGGCTTCGCCTTTTTCTTTTCTTCTGATGATACCAGTAGTATATGGGAGTATATGTATTTCCAAAAGGGCCGTACCTTTCTCTGTCACGCGATCAGGTACATCTTTGCACGTAAAGCCTGAGCTTTTCGCAGATTTTGTCTAAATTCCAGGCCTTGTTGTTATTTCTGAAAAGGATGGGGGCTCTGTTGCCATTCTGTTGATACAGATCGATTAGGACAAGCCAAGTTTATCAGTTAGTCGCTGTCTTGTTACTGTGCACACTTTTTAACCCAAAACATGCTGTATCCAAATGGATGGGTACTTGACAGGTGCTATGTGATAATTTTAATAATTTAATGTGATTACGAGATAGGATATGCTCTGGGGATGTTTTTGGAATTTGCATTATTGATTTGTACTGCTCCAGGGGTTGCTTTTCCACAAGGCTTTTACTAGCTGTTGAACTCCCAGTGTTAGTACTATCCCTGGGTCTTTTCAAGGCCTTTGCCCATGGGTCCAAAGAATTAAAGCATGCACAGTCCATCCAAGTGGCCGTATAGAGAGAGGGAGGGAATAAAATGGAGGACCTGTGGTCTATGTCAGATTGAATCAGGGGGGTCTTGTGGATCTTCAGGAACTGCCTAGGTTGTTTGGTTGAGGTAAATTGTAGCTTGGATTTGTTTTCTTGGTTTCTTGAGATCCTTGTTTCCCCCCTCATTTTTTTGCGTTGGATTTTCATTTTGTTTCCCTTCCCCCCTAACCAAAGATTGAATTTGAAGGGAGAGGGGTCCGATTTATATTTTTCTTCTTCTGGGGAATACCTTTCCTTGTTCCTTAAATCAGTTCTTGTATTCTCTTTGCCGTTTCTTAATAGAAGGTTTAGAGCTTGTCTATAAGATATTATGGATGCTGGTCTGTGTATGTATATGCTTTTCCTAGGCCTGAATGCCTGATGCATAGTATTGCATAAGGCCAAGGGAAGTTGTACACATTTTTCATGTCCAAGGCTACCCAGTTACAAACATATGGGAGCTAATAAGTTACTATGTTTCTAGGTGTCAGCATTTCGGGAGAGTAAGTCGGACGATAGGAGATTCTACATATTTTCCCCCACCAAGACGCTTCACTTGAAGACGGACTCGAAAGATGACCGAGTTGCTTGGATTGAGGCCTTGATCCTGGCAAGGAGTGTTTATTCTCTCGGGTCACTCAGTGGGAGAGTAACTTTCGTGCAGAGCGATGTTTCGATTTCAACTGCAAAGCTTAGAGATCGGATGCATCAGGAGGGTCTGAATGAGAGTCTTATACAGGACTGTGAACAGATTGTGCTTTCTGAGTTCTCAAGTTACGAAAAGCAACTGAAGCGACGTTCTGAGGATTACTTAAGCTTGTTTGGGTCCTGCAGACATCAGTTTGAGGTAAGAAGAGCTGCATACATTCTTTGTAGGTGTTCATGACTTTGCACAACGGTGTCCAGTAGCGTCAACCAGTCATTACTTTGCACAACAGTGATAAGTAGCAGCAACCGACTTGATGCCTGAAAGTAAAAATGTGTCTATATATAGTTGTGGCTTCTTAAATTCCTACCAATCAGCATATCTCATGTTGAAATAGTTATATAAGTTTGCAAAGGTTACTCCTTGAATGGTTACTCTCCTCTTTTCCCTGCAGGAATTTTACATAGTGTATTACACACATATTTGTGCAGGAAGGTAAAGATGGAAGTATAACACAGGAGGCATTGACAAGAAATGACTTCTCTAGTTCTCGGCATGGAAATTTTAGCGGTATGATTTTAACACATACTGGGCTATTTTCAGCACTAGACCAGCTACATGATCTACTTATCTGTTTCTTGTGTCTTTCACTCCTTTCATGTTTGTGTTTCAAGTAGCCCGAGTAATTTTGAACTCCCACATTTGTTTCCTAAGAATTAACATCTTGCTAATGGTACAATTGTTGTTCTTGCCCAGAATATAGCACAACAGAATCTGATGAGCATGAGTTTGAGAAGCAAGATGGAGGTGAATTGATTTGTGAAGATGAATCTACATTCTTTGATTCTGTAGACTACTTCACAGAGTCAGACAACAGATCTGCAACCATGTTAACTGGTCAGGAAGTTGTGGATTCCCAAACGCATGATTCCAGTAACAACAGGTTACCGCAAATCACACGACGGAGTAGGCTGCCTGAGCCTACTGAGAAAGAGAAAGGGATCAGCCTCTGGTCCATTATTAAAGATAGCGTTGGAAAGGATTTGACACGAGTTTGTCTTCCAGTTTACTTCAATGAACCACTCTCATCCCTTCAGAAGTGCTTTGAAGATTTGGAATATTCATACCTCTTGGATCAGGCATATCAACATGGAAAAGTGGTAAGATCGCTTTCACATCTTTGGTCTTGCACGTGTCTAGGAATTTTGTCTGCTTTCCATGAGTGGCAGAGATCAACGAAATTATTTCCAATCCCTTTTCTTGTTCAGCACTGCATCAGAGTTCAAATCAGCAAACTCAATCTTCAAATGTGATTGTGAGGCAAGTTGAAACTAGATGTGTCATATCTGCTGATCAGATTACATATTAGTACCTGTTGTCATGTTGGGAACTCATCAGTATTGTTCAAGCAGTATACTCTGCTAATAAGCGTGGCAGTTTACTCATTCTTAAAAAAGTGAAAGGTGTTTTCAGAGTACTATAGTTGTATCTGTTAGTTTTGCTCAGCTATGCTGTACAATATCACTTGTGAGTTAGGGAAAAGGGCAATGCTGCAGTTCAGTGTATCAACATATAGCATGTTTCTAATACCATGCATGTTGCTATGTTATATGAACTTTTGCTCATTCTTATATTTGAAATCTACTAGGGGGACAGCCTCATGAGAATTCTCAAAGTAGCTGCTTTTGCGGTCTCTGGCTATGCTTCATCTGTTGCAAGACCTTGCAAACCATTCAATCCATTGCTAGGAGAGACCTATGAAGCTGATTACCCTGACAAAGGAGTTCGTTTTTTTGCAGAAAAGGTTAGTTCAATACGCTTTGTTCGTCTTGTGCAAGAGATGCTGTCCTGGGTCTCTGGGGGAAGGATTTATGAGAAATGTTATACATTTACTAAGAAAATGAAGTTTATTTGTTTCGATTATGTTCATATAATGCAAAACTACTGTTGTATGTCCATTCCAAAGTCATTTAATTTCTGATAGAGCTATACCCCTTTGTCTACCTTTTTACTAATCATCCATATCTTACTTTGTGGTACTTTGAATTGGAGACTTTAATTTCATTACATTGCTGTTCAACATTTCCACCAATAGGTTAGTCATCATCCAATGCTGATTGCCTGCCACTGTGAAGGCAAGGGCTGGAAATTCTGGGGCGACAGCAATCTCAAATCCAAGTTTTGGGGGCAGTCAATTCAAGTTGAACCAGTTGGCACTTTGACTCTGGAATTTGAGGATGGTGAAATCTTCCAATGGAATAAGGTGTCCAGCACAACTGGAGATACTAATGTTGCTGATTGATATTATAAGTTTCTTCTCATCATAACTAAATTCTTATCATATTGCCTTTTCAGGTCACAACAACCATTCACAATCTCATTCTTGGCAAGTTGTACTGCAGCCACCATGGAACCATGCACATAAAAATCGTCGTCAGTATTCATGTAAACTGAAGTTCAAAGAGCCATCACTTCTTGACCGGAATCCTCATCTAGTATGTTTCGCTTTGTTCCTTTCTTTGTACTGTTAAGTGTCAACTCAAACATTACAATTGTGAACAAGGGATGTAGAGCCCACATGTGTTTTCCTCTTTGAGTACATTACCTTCTGATCAATCTGTGGTTAACTCATTATCTTCTTTTGTGCTGTTGGCATTTACATATGAAGAGTTTTGCATGATTATCATGCTCTTAGCATCTGACAAATAAACTGTGGGAGAGATGTAAACCACTTTTCATTGCAAGATTTCAAACTCTTGGCCTGGGGTATCAATATGAGTGGCTAGACTTAGCATCCATTTGACCTTTGATCACTTGGGGCAAGTGGTTCTCCTTGTGCTGATGATATAATTTGGACTGAGTTAGCAGTGATTTACAAATTTCGTTATATACTTATTGACCCTAGGTTACAGAACTTATATTTCCGTCTTTTATGTGTGACATCTGAGTTGTATGTTAATTCAAGTGCTACCATAAGTTATTCACTGTTTTAATTTGTGGTGCATACTTGTTTTTAGTTGTATGTTTGCCTCTTTCATACACTGCATTATGTTTATCTGTTGCATGCACTTTGTCCACAGGTACAAGGCTTTGTAGAGGACAATAATGGGAACAAAGCTTCGTTTTTGATAGGGAAGTGGGACGAAAGCATGTATTGTAGTAATTCCGATACTTTCAAGGTGAAGAGCGCCCGATCAGCTGAAAGGTGCCTCACTGCTGTGGGGAAAAGAACAAACCTGCTCCTAACCTAACACGATACAATTTGTCTTCATTTATGATCACACTGAATGAGTTGACCCCAGGGCTGCAGGTATGGATGTACATGTGATTGCCACATAAGTGTTTCGTAATCAAGATTTTGTCCTTAATTGCTTGGCCATTCCTGGATTCAGGAGAAACTTCCACCTACTGATTCACGGCTCAGACCAGACCAGCGCCACCTAGAGAATGGCGAATACGAGAAGGCGAATGCAGAGAAGTTGAGATTGGAGCGCCGGCAAAGAATGGTATCCTCTCTTGCTTCCTATGTAAAATTTAGAACTGACCTAGAGGATCTTGCCGAATAATTTTGGAAGAAGTTGAGCCTTTCATAGATCACATTCCCAACATGATGTTTCATCCTATTCTGTCTCATTGCAGTCAACGAAACTTCAAGACAATGGCTGGAAACCCAGGTGGTTCGAGCAGGACACCGAGGACGGGACGTATCGCTACAAAGGCGGATACTGGGAGACAAGAGAGAAGGGCTGCTGGGATGGGTGCCTCGACATATTTGGGGAATTTATGGAAACATGAGCGCCCTGTTCTTGCAGCAGCAGAGGTTCAAGTAGCCCACACGCGTCGGGTAACGCCATTCAGAAACAATGGAGCACTGCCATCTCCAATGGAGCATCCTCTTGCTGAAGAAGAAAAGGGAGCAGCCTTGTGCGAGGAGTAGAGCATTGGAGACGAAGGCGTTGCCGTCATGACTGAATGGTAGCATAGTATATGATTGGCCACGGAGAGGCATTGCCAGCGTGTTAGTATAGTAGTATAGTTCCAATGCAAATAAGAATGCTGGTATTCATTCTTTGGTTCCTTGTGTTGAACATGGATCTGTTGTTGCTGATTAGGCTACCTGGCCTTCGTTTTACACTGTGGAAGAGATTTGCTTGCTCGGCTAGGCAAAAGTCTGCCTGCCCATGTAAGAGCAAGTATAATAAGTGGCTGCATGTTGACGTGGAGCAGAGAGGGGAGGAGAGAGAAGAGAAGCAAGCTGTAAGCTTAGGGTACCCGCAACAGTAAAAGTCAGCTACTAGCTCTAATAAGTCACCCTCTCCATTAGTATTAGCTTTTAGCAATGTCTCATAATATGATTAGGCTCATATAATACTCTCACATATTCTTGGAATGTGTGTATGAGCCTATTTCTTGATCAAGAGCTAGCTTTTCTCTCTTTTCTATTAAAATATAAAGAAAATACTTATAGCTGACTTATGAGCCACCCCATTATGGGTGCTCTTGCAGCCAGTTTATGCACAGGAACCAAGAAATTCTGTGCGACGGACAAATGGGTCTTAAGCCGACTAACTATTATAGTAGTGACTGTTCGTGTTTTTGCCGATTGCAGCTGGGGCTGGAAAAGTACCTTCGAGGCAGTAAACTTACATGATCCTGACATAATTCAGCAAACAATTATTACAACCTTCTTTTCGATCTCTGGTGGATAGTGTTTTCATCTTCAAAAATCAAGCGCATAGGTCTCAGCATTATGATCCTAGCAAAACTCACTGCCATTCTCTCTTTCTTTTGGTGAAAGGTATTTCACTGGATTTATTGAAGGCATTAAGCATATAACGGCTTACAGACTCCAGAAACAGTTCAGAACAGAGGGAAGCAGAAACACTAGACTGGCACTATGGGCTGGGACCCAAAAAGCAAACTCCTGCGTACAGGCACCACCAAAACCAGTAAACACTTCTTATAAAAAAGAATAAAAAACAGTAAACACTTGCTAAGCTCGATCAGCACCAAAGCAAGTGTTTCATCCTTTTCTTGACTCGTCACTTCAGTGAGACTAGAAGTTCGTCATCCATCCAGAAAGCCACCCTTTGATTTCAAAGAGTCGATTTCTAACAGACGCCCTCAGCAACTATTGCCATTTCTACAAGAAAAGAAAAGAAAAGAAAAGAAATCTTTGAACAAAACTTGAGCAGACAATCTTGGGAACATGTTTTCTCTAGACATTTTATTTCTACAAGTCCAAAGCGCCCAGGTGACAAGATACCACACCCGATTTCAAGGACAAAATCGAATGCACAACATATGTATGACATGATCAATTTATTCGTACATATGTCGACTTCATTACAGTATCATAGCAAGGTTGCTTATAAAATGAAAACATTATTTAAACAATGACCCGTGGGTCTGAAAGAAAAACTCAAGCTATTAACGGAAAGGGACGCCATCTCTACATGAAGGTTGACCGGGGTACACCAGCCTAACAACGGCACCGTCTTCGAGAAACACCATCTTCTAGGGACTCCGTCTTCTGGTTTGAACAACTGGGTGGGGTAGAAAGGGGACAAAGATAGGAAGAGTGAGTACATCGAAATATACTCTGCAAGTATAGGAAAGTATGACATGAGGGCCAACACAAGGAAAGGCTTATATAGGTTTGACACATGCACTTAAAGCGACAAATCCTAATTTACCTTAAATCCTTAGCACCTAATTGCTAGGTGAATTTTGCCTTCTCCTCAAAGAACCAACGCTTGAATTCCATCCAAGCTCCCAAACTAATATAATGCTATGTTCCACCATGTATATCAAATATACAATAGGATAAATATTTATTTTAATAACTTATGAAAAATAGAAAAATGTTCACTTAACAAACCACGTAGCAATAATACTTTATCTTAATACTCCGTGATAATAAATTGCATAAGTTATTATATTAAATAAGTTTGTACATTTTCACTGAAACATTTTGTCATATCAATATTATTAATTTAATTTTATGCACTATATAATATATAAATAATACTACACACATATAATACTGTGATATAACAAATTCAATATGTTTAGTGTTGGGATGCAAACAGAGTTTCAACTTATGTGGAAAACAATACTACTAGGACCTAGACTCCTTTTAATAAAAAACATTTTTTGAATAAAAGATAAAGAATACTAGAATTTCTAATTAACATGTGGAAAATTTGCAACAACTTGATTAATAGTTAAAATATAAACTATAGATTTACGAAGTCACAAAATGGGTTGTATCAAGAGTTTATATATCTTAAGACTAGATTTAAACTAAATACATGTCACACTAGAAAAAAAGGTAAATACTGGAAATTCTAACTAGATGTCCCCACTGGAGCCTGCATGTTAATCCTCACAAGACTTGATAATATGAATATCTTACCATAAATATGAATATAGAAAACAAAAGATAGATCCTAGAAATTCCCATAAAAGTCAGAAACATCTTAACATAAATTAGGTATAACCTAATCATCATTGATAATGATAATAGCTATTGGATCTATTTTATTTTATAAATAATTATTCACTTCTGCTCTCATGACTCTAATTTATATTACCAAATATGTCGTTCAGAAACATGATCTAAGGTAGACCTAAATTTGCATTAATTACCGACGTCCATCGATAATTTACATAACTCATTATTAGGAAAAATAAATACCCCGTCAAATCTACATCTAAATTATCAATATCCCCTCTTATAAAAAAAATTGTTTAGATAGCGAATAGAGCATATGTATATATATATATATGTGTGTGTGTGTGTGTGTGTGTGTGTGTGCGCGCGCGCGCGCATTACCCCACTCTATCAATATTAATATAGTAAGATTTAATTAAAGTAAATATATGTATCGTGCCAACATGCATGAGCAATAAAATACATATGTTATCTTTTATCACATAAAAAATATTTTCTTAACAACTCATATACATGATGCTAACAAATTATTTATAAATATATAATTTATATAGATTGTTACTTTACATATATTTATGTATTTTAATTAAAACATTAGACATGTCTATATTGATAATATGGCCATAACTGCAAATATAGTTCTTTGATAGGAAAATTCAATCATCTTGAGAACCGTGGAAGATCATTTGGTGGCTGTATTTTTTCTGGCCTTTAAGAATAATTTAGAGTAAAAAGTCTCTTTATAAGATTTAAGTATTAAAATTCTCTTAATGTTAACATTGCTATCCTGTTCTGAGATCTCAATTCAACCTCTATGACTTATCTTAAGCGATATGGTGCACGTTTCAAATAATGGCCTATGCTATTGTAATACTTAAGAATATACTCTATGACCTAAAATCCTTAATTTTAAAAAAGTGCAAAAAGGAGAGTTAATGAAAGATACAATCAGCACATGAGTTTCAACTTAACTTGAGAGAAAAAAATCTGTAGCAATCGATAAGAATAAAATTTGGAAGAAAAAAAATCAAAATTTAGATTCATGACTTCATAAGATTCATGATGCAACAAGAGCCACCTTGATAATGGTAGGTTTCAAAATAATTGTATATTTAAAATATACAGAGGTGCCATGCAAAGGAAAAATATGAATATGGATGAAAAATATAGATTAGTTCGTTGAAAAATAGTAATTAATAAGTTTACGATTACTGGATATAGACTACATGATATCTATTACATCTATTATGTTAGAAAATAAAAAAAGAGAAAAACATATAATTTAATATAAGTAATTATTTATTAATCTGATGTACTCCCTCCGTTCTAAATTATAAGAAGTTTTGGGTTTTCTGGATACATATATTTTTGCTATATACATAGATGACTGTTAAGATATGCAGTAAAAATAATATATCTAGAAAAGGCAAAACGGCTTATAATTTGGAACGAGAGGAATGTTAAATAATACTTAATACTTATATCTCCTAAAATTCTAGCCCGTGCGGGAGCACGGGTTAATGGACTAGTAGTAAGATAATCCCAATGCAAATAAAATGGTTGTATTCATTATTATTTTTTAAATATGATTGAGTATTCATTCTCTCTTTCTTTTAACTGTCCCTGCTTTTTTTATAGAAGGTAATAAGCATATATCGGCTTAAAACATTCCAGAAACAGTTCAAAACAGGGGAAGGAGAAATACAAGACAGGCAATCTGCGCCGGCCCCCAAAAGCAGAAACTTCAAGACAATGGCAGGAAACCCCGGTGGTTCGGGCAGGACACAGAGGACGGGACGTACCGCTACAAAAGGCGGATACTGGGAGACAAGAGAGAAGGGCTGCTGGGATGGGTGCCTTGACATATTTGGGGAATTTGTGGAAACATGAGCACCCTGTTCTCGCAGCAGCAGAGGTTCAAGTAGCCCACACGCGTCGGGTAACGCCATTCAGAAACAATGGAGCACTGCCATCTCCAATGGAGCATCCTCTTGCTGAAGAAGAAAAGGGAGCAGCCTTGTGCGAGGAGTAGAGCATTGGAGACGAAGGCGTTGCCGTCATGACTGAATGGTAGCATAGTATTTGATTGGCCACGGAGAGGCATTGCCAGCGTGTTAGTATAGTAGTATAGTTCCAGTGCAAATAAGAATGCTGGTATTCATTCTTTGGTTCCTTGTGTTGAACATAGGTCTGTTGTTGCTGATTAGGCTACCTGGCCTTCGTTACACTGTGGAAGAGATTTGCTTGCTCGGCTAGGCAAAAGTCTGCCTGCCCATGTAATGTGTTTTTGCCGATTGCAGCCGGGAGTGGAAAAGCACTTTATGTAGAGAAGAAGAGG